CTCGCCGTGCCTCTACATTCTCCTTCCCCCTGGTGACCAGTGACTCCCGTAACCTGGCGGCCTCCTTTGCCAACCCGCTGAACCACTCTATCCCGGCCTCCTGCTGCCCCGTCGTCCACGGCGTGAGCCCCCCCCCTAAAAAAATTCTGGCCTTCTCTCCTACCCGTGGACCAGGTCTCCATATCTCTCGCCAGCCTTTCGCCCTTCTGCTTCCAAGTCAAGCCCCTCTCTTCCTCACACGGCTTGACCCAGTCGAGGAGGTGAAGGAGATCCGCTAGAGATCTCCTGGCGATGGCTCCTGGACACGCTGCTTGGTCCAGTCTTGGTGGGATCTTCTGTCGCGCTCGTCGGGAACAGAGGACAATGGCGCAGCGTTGAAGGTTAACATGCTTTTTATTAATGCTACACGAACAAAACAACAAATGATACGTGAAGTTACTACGGTACAAACACAAACCAAAAGGAACAAGATCCCACACCATACTGTGGGAAACAGGCTGACTAAGTATTGTCCCCAATCAGAGACAACAAGCAACAGCTGATTCACGTTGCCACTGATTGAGAACCACACTGGCCAACATAGAAACACAATACTAGACCGAACACAAATGAAAACTCACACCCTGGCTCAACATACTAGAGTCCCAAGAGCCAGGGCGTGACACTACAGCTCGATGGTGGTTATACAAGGCTGCTATACTAAGCCTACTAATGATAATGACATTAATTATTATTATAATGATGATCATAATAATTATAGTAATAATTACAATAAGAAGGAGATCCAGAAAAAGGAGGGTTATTATTACTATTATTATTATTATTATTATTATTATTATTATTATTATTATTATTATGATAAATATTATTTTTCAGGCAATTTGGAACATTGTAACCAATACTAAATAAATTATGAATAATACCAAAGAGGCTGTTCTAACAAAAAAGTGTAGAGCCTTAATTACAGCAAAGCAAATACACTGCTTAAAAAAATAAAGGGAACACTTAAACAACACATCCTAGATCTGAATGAATGAAATAATCTTATTAAATACTTTTTTCTTTACATAGTTGAATGTGCTGACAACAAAATCACACACAAATTATCAATGGAAATCAAATGTATTAACCAATGGAGGTCTGGATTTGGAGTCACCCTCAAAATTAAAGTGGAAAACCACACTACAGGCTGATCCAACTTTGATGTAATGTCCTTAACCCTCCCGTTGTCCTAGGGTCAAAATGACCCGCCACTGTGTTGAACCAACTTTATTACATTTTTATATTTTTGGGATCATTTGTGAGAAGGAGGCAGTGAGACTTTAAAGAAAGTATCACTGCCTCCTTCTTACAAATGATCCAAAAAATATAAAAATCAAATAAAGTTGGTTCAACACAGTGGCGGGTCATTTTGACCCTAGGACATTGGGAGGGTTAAAACAAGTCAAAATGAGGCTCAGTAGTGTGTGTGGCCTCCACATGCCTGTTTGACCTCCCTACAACACCTGGGCATGCTCCTGATGCGGTGGCGGATGGTCTCCTGAGGGATCTCCTCCCAGACCTGGACTAAAGCATCCCCCAACTCCTGGACAGTCTGTGGTGCAACGTGGCAATGGTGGATGGAGCGAGACATGATGTCCCAGATGTGCTCAATTGGATTCAGGTCTGGGGAACGGGCGGGCCAGTCCATAGCATCAATGCCTTCCTCTTGCAGGAACTGCTGACACACTCCAGCCACATGAGGTCTAGCATTGTCTTGCATTAGGAGGAACCCAGGGCCAACCGCACCAGCATATGGTCTCACAAGGGGTCTGAGGATCTCATCTCGGTACCTAATTGCAGTCAGGCTACCTCTGGCGAGCACATGGAGGGCTGTGCGGCCCCCCAAAGAAATGCCACCCCACACCATGACTGACCCACCGCCAAACCGGTCATAAGGAGGATGTTGCAGGCAGCAGAACATTCTCCACGGCGTCTCCAGACTCTGTCACGTCTGTCACATGTGCTCAGTGTGAACCTGCTTTCATCTGTGAAGAGCACATTGTGCCAGTGGCGAATTTGCCAATCTTGGTGTTCTCTGGCAAATGCCAAACGTCCTGCACGGTGTTGGGCTGTAAGCACAACCCCCACCTGTGGACGTCGGGCCCTCATACCACCCTCATGGAGTCTGTTTCTGACCGTTTGAGCAGACACATGCACACATGTGGCCTACTGGAGGTCATTTTCCAGGGCTCTGGCAGTGCTCTTCCTGCTCCTACTTGCACAAAGGCGGAGGTAGCGGTCCTGCTGCTGGGTTGTTGCCCTCCTATGGCCTCCTCCACGTCTCCTGATGTACTGGCCTGTCTTCTGGTGGCGCCTCCATGCTCTGGACACTACGTTGACAGACACAGCAAACCTTCTTGCCACAGCTCGCATTGATGTGCCATCCTGGATGAGCTGCACTACCTGAGCCACTTGTGTGGGTTGTAGACTCTGTCTCATGCTACCACTAGAGTGAAAGCACCGCCAGCATTCAAAAGTGACCAAAACATCAGCCAGGAAGCATAGGAACTGATAAGTGGTCTGTGGTCACCACCTGCAGAACCACTTCTTTATTGGGGGTGTCTTGCTAATTGCCTATAATTTCCACCTGTTGTCTATTCCATTTGCACAACAGCATGTGAAATGTATTGTCAATCAGTGTTGCTTCCTGGACAGTTTGATTTCACAAAAGTGTGATTGACTTGGAGTTACATTGTGTTGTTTAAGTGTTCCCTTTATTTTTTGAGCAGTGTATTAAAAACAGCCGAATTTGTGAAAGTGTTTACTTGACATGTCGTTGCATGACGAATGGTGCTCACGGAATCAGTAGGCTATTAAACAAACACTCAAACAGACTTTTCTGTAGATATACACTACCTTTCAAAAGTTTGGGGTCACTTAGAAATGTCCTTGTTTTTCGAAAGAAAAGCATTTTTTTGGTCCATTAAAATAACATCAAATTGATCAGAAATACAGTGTAGATATTGTTAATGTTGTGAATGGCTATTGTAGCTGGAAACAACAGATTTTTTATGGAATATCTACATAGATGGACAGAGGCCCATTATCAGCAACCATCAGTCCTGTGTTCCAATGGCACGTTGTGTTTGCTAATCCAAGTTTACCATTTTAAAAGGCTAATTTATCATTAGAAAACCCTTTTGCAATTATGTTAGCACAGCTGAAAACTCTTGTGCTGATTAAAGAAGCAATAAAATTGGCCTTCTTGAGACTAGTTGAGTATCTGGAGCATTAGCAATTGTGGGTTTGATTACAGGCTCAAAATGGGCAGAAACAAATAACTTTTTTCTGAAACTCGTCAGTCTATTCTTGTTCTGAGAAATTAAGGCTATTCCATGCAAGAAATTGCAAAGAAACTGAAGATCTCGTACAATGCTGTGTACCACTCCCTTCACGGAACTGCGCAAACTGGCTCTAACCAGAATAGAAAGAGGAGTGGGAGGCCCCGGTGCACAACTGAGCAAGAGGACAAATACATTACAGTGTCTAGTTTGAGAAACAGGCGCCTCACAGGTCCTCAACTGGCAGCTACATTAAATAATACCTGCAAAACACCAGTCTCAACGTCAACAGTGAAGAGGCGACTCCGGGATGCTGACCTTCTAGGCAGAGTTGCAAAGAAAAAGCCATATCTCAGACTGCCCATCTTAATATTTTCTTTTTATTGGCCAGTCTGAGGGATGGCTTTTTCTTTGCAACTCTGCCTAGAAGGTCAGTATCCCGGAGTCGCCTCTTCACTGTTATGTCATGACACTGCACAAAATTAAAAATATATATTCATTGAAATCGAAAAACAGTAGACACTTTTTAATTACCTACTGTTTATGTCAACACATATTCCTGTTAATTTACTAAAATCTGTTTGATGTGCAGCTACCTCAATCCTGCACAGGCTAGCCGGCAAAGGGGCATTAGATGGTCAACTTTGAGCTAGCTTGAGTTAGCCTATTTCTTTCATTGCTTGGGTTACCCTCCTGTCATAAAATAGTGCATTATGGGTAGAGTTCTGAAACAAATGCAGTAGAAACATATGAGGGATAATCTACATTTTACCTTTAAAATACAATTTTACTTTTGTGAAATTTCAACTGCTTAGGGTTCTGTAAGTGACCTACGTTGTTACTTTTGTATATATTTTAACTTAAAACCTTGTCTTTAAGGGCACATTTTAGGCATAATTTGCATGGGCAGCTGTCACTTTAAGGCTAAAATGCACCAACCTGATGGTTACATGACTGCTCTTCACCCCGCATAGGACAGCGCAAACCATAGTTAACCACAAAATCATTATATAAACACAGTGTTCACACAGCCCCAACGTTGAGTTATCACATCATTTGAACAGCTTGTTCTGCGCCTGCATACTACTACCACTTGGATTTCCAACACCTTAATTAAGGTTACTCTATTACTTAATTAATTACTCTATTCTACACTCTGATGATTTTGTGCCCAAAAGCTCCCTGGCAAAAACAATATGGCATACTTTATATTGCTTAAAGTATAAAATGAACCAATTACCTGACTAGTAATAGTAACTACTTAGTATTAGTTTCAAGATAGTAATTATGTTATTAACAACATTATAGTTGTATTGGAATTGTAACTATGTAATTACGTGGTAATATTGTTTAGAGCCATAGGTTGATACACAGGTAAAACAAGGTATGGGGGAGGGAGGACTCAGGGGGAGACGTCCTGTGTCACCAAACTGTAATGGCGTTACTATATAAAATCAACTTAAGGATAAGTGTTTTCATGTTTTCTAATTAAACATCATCAATCATTCTGTACATGCTGAAGTTGATTTGGTTTTCTAGCTTTATTTGAGTTATGGAAATACATGCGATTGTGTTCAGATTTCAGCAAGCACATTAATCAATTGCTTTATGTTTTATATGTTAACAGCCAAAACCCTGGACGACATAGCAAAAAGGTACAAGAAGGTCCTGGGAAGCATGTCCGCTGCTTTCCACAGCGTGGGTGTGGATCGCAACACTGTCACGATGAGTGCCCCTCTGGCAGAGATCATGCAAGCAGTGCCGGAGTTCCTTCATTCACAGCCAGCATTTGACAGCTCTAAAGAGACGCTCAACCAATATGCAAGAAGGATCACCAAAAATGCAACAGCAGAGGTGAGCGTTGCTATAAAAGAGAAGAGGCGTACTGAACTGCTCCCTATCACTTATAAATTCAAATAAACACAGATTATGCACACACATTTACACACACACACACTGGGTAGAGATAGTGTAAGAGTGTGTTCCCGCTGTAAAAAATGTAACAGAATAATTTTTTTAATGTGTTCGCCTGTTTTCAGAGATGAGGCGCAAGGAACTGCTCCATATCCCCTATAAAGATGATTTTGCACAAATTTACACTACCAGTCAAAAGTTTTGGAACACCTACTCATTCAAGGGTTTTTCTTTATTCTTACTATTTTCTACATTGTAGAATGATAATGAAGACATCAAAACTATGAAATAACACATATGGAATTGCATAGTAACAAAAAAGTCTTAAACGAATCAAAATATATTTTGTATTTTAGATTCTTGAAATAGCCACCCTTTGCCTTGATGACAGCTTTGCACATTGAGTTGCTTGTTCCTGAATGGTAACCTTGTATTTAAAATACTTTTCTTTATAACGATATTGTAATAACTAAACTTTTGATATACCCTGCAAAATTTTAATAATAATGAAAGTAAATAGTAATTACACCATTGTTGTAACATAGTAACTACATAGTACTGTAATGACAGTACATGAGTCATTCATGATTTGTTTCACTTTACATCAAGTTGCTTGTTCCTGTGTAAGAAACATTGTAGTTACGATAGTTTTCTTTATAACAACATTGTAATAACTGACATTTTGATGTATCTTGTGAAATATGTAATTGCATTGAAAGTACATTGTAATTACACTTATAGGTGTTGTAACAACAGTTATTCTACATTGAAGTGTATTTTTCCACTGATTGTAATAAAAATGTTTACCCTACCTGTGTTTCACTTTACTTGAACCTGCTTGCTCATCAGTACCTACATTTATTGATCAATTTATTTTATTTTTTATTGAACCTTTATTTAATACATTAACATTATGCATTATATTATTTAGAAAAATATTTCACTTACATTACAGCTTTGAAGCCATGGAAATAAACCTGAAATCCCTTTTCAAAGGCAGGTATATAGTATTTACAAAGGATACACCAATATGTGTTTCACTTTACATTAAGTTCCTTGCTCCTGGGTAGGTACATTAGTTACATGCATATCCATTGTAAATAAATTGCTCTCACATTTAATGCAGTGCATCCTTTAAGCCAAATAATATGGAAATAATATAACTGAAGCTGTAGTTATTGATAGGGTGTGCATTGTTACAACAGCAGACTGAGTCCTAGCCTGGCTTATTTTGGTGGTAGTGACTTATGTAGTTACATATAACAAGGTTACATATTAGGATGCATTGTTAACATGGCGCTACACAGGAGACTGCAAAAGTGTATTTACAGAACATGTTAGTTACATTTGGAACAAGACATATTGTAATTACAGTTGGAACAAGACATATTGTAATTACATATACATAAATCACAAGTTATTACACATGTGGAATAACCTCCCACAAGCTGATTTGTAATGACATGTCCTTGTTCCACTTGTGTAATAACCTATTCCGCTAAACCCTTATTACAGTATAATTACATAGTATTTACATAGTAATTACATGTAACGTCTGTTATAAATGCATTTATTACTATTTAGTTACTTATTAATTGATGCACACTTAAGGTAAAGTGTTACTGTAAAGTCTTTTGTCTGTAATGTATTTTTCGTTATACGTCGGACCCTAGTCAGACTAGCTGTTGCCATTGGCGTCGGCTAATGGGGATCCTAATAAATCAAATCAAATCACTTGATACTGATCAATTGAATCATTTATTGAGTCTCCGGTAGGACACCTCTCATAGTGGTCCTTACATGGACGCTTTCTGACAAAGTCCACTCTGGTCCACCATCAAAGCACTGATTAGCAGATATTGTAAACAAGGCACTGGCCAAGAGGTTACAAGGCTTTACATGCTCTCACCCTCACCCTATTACACTCCTCCTAAGAGCTATTGTTCACTCTCTCCCTCCTATCTGCTCTTTCACTGTACCTCCATCTGTATCAATCCATAGGTTTCCTCATTGGACCAGTCACCATTATGCTACATGTGTCAAAGCAAAATGGTTGCCTGTTCGAGTCGCTCAACCTGATAATTGTCGGATGGGGATGCTTTATTCAAGACCATACTTCTCACAGTCATGCCTTAGTGAGCCGGCTGCATTTCAGCAGTTTGCCGGCTCGCTCTTTCCTCTCATGTGCCCCGGCCCAGACTTGTTTTTACAATTTCTGTATTGATTGGTGGCTCCCTCTTGGATGTCGGCCTACCCGTGTCTGATATAACGGAAGGAAGATTTGTTCACATTTTTCACAGGGCTTCTGGGGCTCTTTCTTTAAACGCTTTAGCACACCTGATATCTAATTTCCTCTGGTTTCCACCTTTTTACACCTGAAGCATCTGTTTGTGCTTAATCAGACTCATACTGGTTGGCATTTCCTTTGACTGATTGATTACGTTGTGTTGTTTGTCTATGGATGTGTGAGAGTGTGTAAAGCACAGTGAATGCTATTGTGTTTGTGGTCTTGATGTGTGTATGCAGACACAATGTGTATGTTCCTTTTTAGATAAACATGCATTGACTATCAAGCTAAATGGTTAAATATTTGTGTGAGTGTGTGTGCACATCTGTCTGTCTGTGAGTGTGCCTCTCACTTTAATGACAATGTCTCTCCACAACAGGAGTGAAAATTGAAGGATTGCAGAAGAGAGGATCCTTTTAATAGCTGGGAAGGATGCAGGATGTATAGCATAACAAATGTAAAGCTTTCTGTGGGATGGCAGCAGTGTTAGCTCACAACAAAACATAAAATAAAATAAAAAATGCATATTTTGCATTTACAAATATTTTTTCCCCTCCCTGCTATTATGCCTCTAATGACTTTGTAACTGAAATGCAAGTTTATTTCACAAGATGCTCTCTCTTGGGAATATGGTAATGCCCCAAAAACCTTCCCATTAAAAATGAGTTATGGAGCCCGGGAGGAGGGAGAAGGAATAGCTTAAAGTGTAACTGACAGCATTTTAGCAACATGAAATCTAATTAAAATCTGTTCATATACACCCCCAGGAAGAATATGACACTTTCAAAAAATCTGAGAAGCGAGGACTTAGATATGGTCATTTTCACGTTTTCATACATTCTTAGAACTCATTCGCCAAAAGCCACAAAATACACCTGAATGGATTTCTGCAAATATGTAAATACCACAGGAATCCTCTTACATATGGGAACTTTACAGTCCTATTGATCGAACAACCATGAAAAGGTAGGCTCTCTGTCCCTCAGTTATGCACATCAACAACAACAAGATTAACAACTAATGCTAGCCAGAGCAAGATGAGCTAAAATCTAATGAAGGAACATTAGATAAACCCTCTCAAACTTTTTCAGCTAGTTTGCTGTCAAAATGGCACTGTTAAATGATGGGGAATTGTAGCCTACTTGTCCTTATGCAGTTGCCTGCAAACAAGCACTCAAGCTAACTGGCTAAAGTTGGCTAGCTTGCTAGCTAGCTACTTCCAGACACAAATGAGAGAAGACCTCACTCTGACCACTTTACTCACCCTAGCAGTGCTGGTTAACTAGGCTGTTTACATGTTATCTAGAGCGTTCATGACTAACTATTACTTTTTTTTTGCCTACGTTTACTGACACCGGTCATATTCAGCGGGTGTTGCGTGTTTGCAAATTCTTAGTTATTCTATGCTCTGACACACTCAGACGAGAGTGCTCTGAAATCGGAGTAGATAGCCAGAGTGAATCTGCGAACGCAAGAGATATGCTAACTGGATAGCAGTCGTTCAAGTTCTTGCTAGCTAACCTAATGGCACCTGCATCTTTAGCTGTGTATAGCCACCAAAAAACGATATGAGGGGAAATAGTCAATCACTCACCCACTCCTTCAATGACATGACATGACATCCACCTAGCAGCTAGCTAGCTTATGTTAGGCTCCGTGTTTTCTTCTCTGAGATACATCTGCCCTAAATTCTAGGCTGGTGGAGATGGTCATATGACACTTCATTATAGAGCAGACAAGTAAAGTGGGCCGAAGTGTCTGTCAAAGTGAAAGGGTTGAGTTTGGAAAGTGAGAGTGTATAAATTGGGCCAAGCTTGGGCACAAAGAATAGCCTTCAGTCAGCGGCCTCATTTGTGGCCCTGCAGCTCACACCTGCCAGCCCTTGGTGATTGTGCACACCCACACACACGCAAACACATGCATTAAACACACTCACACACTCTCTCCCTCACACACACACACACACACACACACACTCCGAAACCCAGATACACACAGACCCCACACACTGACATAGACAATTTATAAGCCCTAGCTCCCAGGCCCTCCCACGCTTTGTTGAACTCCCATGATACCAGAAGTCATCCTCTGGGCGTCGTCGGTATCTGGGTCTCCTATCCCTTTTCAGTCTCTGTTGCTAAAAAAGCTGTGTGCTGGGAATGAAGATAGAAACAGCTCTACATTTTTTCACCCACCATCTTTTCATCATATACTGTAAGTGTTAATGGTGTGTATTTTTGTGTCGGGTGTGTCATCAAGGGATGGCAGGTGTGAGCTGCAGGGCACAAATGATTCCGGTCACTGAAGGCTACTCCATTTCTGTGAAGGAAGAGCTGTCAGTTACAGACAAGTTCACTTATCTTGGCAGCACCATGTCCGGTGCGATTGCTTTACACCCGTGGTCACCAACCCGTCGATCGCAATTGACTGGTCGATCTTCAATGCATTCCTAGTCGATTGCTACACATTTCTGTTAAAAAGCCAACGATAAAGAATTGTGCTCTTATTTTTTATTTTTTGTCTCACGCTGTTGGTAGTAGGTGCACTTGATACAGCTGCTATGCATGCTGGGTAGGGGAAGTGGTGCATTTTGTATCACTTTATTTATTTGTCATGCCACATGATTGTCTATACTTGCTGAAACCCTGACCTCAGACAAAGTGGTTGGTGGAACTATCATGGGCTAACACACAGTGAGCTCCAAAAGTATTGGGTCAGTCACTCATTTTCTGTTGTTTTGGCTCTGTACTCCAGGAATGTGGATTTGAAATTATACAATGACTATGAGGTTAAAATACAGACTGTCAGCTTTAATTTAAGGGTATTTTCATCCATACCGGGTGAACCGTTTAGAAATTACAACACTTTTTGTTTTACATAGTCCCCCCATTTTAGGGGACCAAAAGTATTAGGACAATTCACTTATATGTGTATTGAAGTAGTCAAAGGTTAAGTATTTGGTCCCATATTCACAGTACGCAACGGGGCGGCAGGTAGCTTAGTGGTTAAGAGCGTTGTGCCACTGAAAGGTCGCTGGCTCTAATCCCTATCCGACTAGGTGAAAAATCTGTCGATGTGCCCTTGAGCAAGGCACTTAACCCTAATTGCTCTTCTAAGTCGCTCTGGATAAGAGCGTCTGCTAAATGGCAAAAATGTAAAATGTACATCAAACTTGTGAGTACAAATTTGTTGTGTTTTAGATTATTTTGTGCCCAATAGAAATGAATGGTAAATAATGTATTTTGTCATTTTGGAGTCACTTTTATTGTAAATAAGAATATAATATGTTTCTAAACACTTCTACATTAATGTGGATGCTACCATGATTATGGATCATCATGAATGAATCATGAATAATGATGAGTGAGAAAGTTACAGACCCACAAATATCAACCCCCCCCCCCCCCCCCCCCCAAAAAAAAAAATGCTAACCTCCTCTGTTATTGTAATGGTGAGAGGTTAGCATGTCTTGGGGGTATGATATTTGTGTGTCTCACTATCATTATTCACGATTCATTCAGAACTATCCATAATCATGGTAGCATCCACATGAATGTAGAAGTGTTTAGAAACATATTCTATTCTTATTTACAATAAAAGTGGCTCCAAAATTACACAATACGTTATTTACCATTCATTTCTATTGGGCACAAAATAATCTGAAACACAACAAAAAATCAAACAGCATCCAACAAATTTGTAGAGTCGCAAGTTTGATGTAGTCATTGTGTGTGTCACGACTTCCTCCAAAGCTGCCTCCCCTCCTTGTTCGGGCAGGCTTCGGCGTTCGTCGTCACCGGCCTTCTAGCCGCTGCCGCTCCATGTCTCACCATTCAATTTGTCTTGTTTTGTCAATCACACACACCTGGTTCTAATCCCCTAATTATTAAGTGTTCCCTCTGCCCCCTTGTCTTTGTGGGTGATTGTTCATTGTGAGGATTAGTAGCTCGGTTGAGCTCAGTATTTTGTATTGCCGGGGTATTTTCCCCGTGTGCATGTTTGTTCCAGTGCACCTGTTTTGTGCACTAGACTGGTTATGCTGGATTACGGAATCAACTCTGTATACTGTGATTTACCCTCCTGCGCCTGACTCCTTCAAATCACGCATCACAGTGTGCTATGAATATGGGACCAAATACTTAACTTTTTACTAATTTAATACACATATAAGTGAATTTGTCCCAATACTTTTAGTCCCCTAAAATGGGGGGACTATGTACAAAAAGTAAACGGTTCACCCGAAATTGATGAAATTGATGAAAATACCCTGAAATTAAAGGTAATAGTCTGCACTTTAACCTCTGTCATTGTATCATTTCAAATTCAAAGTGCTGAAGTACAGAGCGAAAACAACAACAAATATGTCACTGTCCTAATACTTTTGGAGTTCACTGTATCTCGAAGCGGAGGACACATTTTTATGATGGCGTATACTGCAATCAGAGCTGATTTTAAACATTAGCAGTACCTTGGGGCATAAAATATATTATATTCAAATAAACCACACCAAAATATCTTCGTTTTCCAAACAGCCCATCCACAGCAATCATTCTGCTTCCTCTCCTCATGCAGGAGGATGAAAACTATGAATGCATGATTTATCATTCCTGAGCATTCTCAGCTGACAGGAATAGGGTGCTGTTTTTCTGGTGGCTTTAAAATGGCACCCGTGAGGGCTGGAGGGGAAGAAGAAGGCAGGTCTGTAACAAACTGCAGCAGGATCCATCACCTGGCATCGACTGCTGCACCACATTCATCCACTGTTATTGTGTTTTTATTGAGACATCCCTCCCCTCTCCTTATCTGTGTCTGTCTCTTCCTTTCTCTCTGTGTGTGTGTGTGTGTGTGTGTGTGTCTGTGTGTATGTCTGTGTGTAGGTCTGTGTGTGTGAGTAAGTGTGTTTGTGTGTGTGTGAGTGATGCCCAAAAGGTGATAACATCCTACCGCCCCTATCCAGCTAATCGCCATTGATTCCTCTGTTGTGAGCTGGGCTATACATTTCCCACAGTATGAACGCAGGCTGTTACGACTCAATGGGGGCTATCTCCATACCGCAGAGTT